GGTCTATGTTTGCTTTTCTAGCCATAAATCTAGGCACTCCCCCTCAGGAATCCTATAATTCGTCACATAATCCACATAGAATCACTTCTTGTTCCTCAGGTAAGCCTATGTGCTTTTGTGTACATGTCATTTCCCCTTAGTGTTTTTTAGGGGTGCAGGTGGATAGAGTTGATGGTGGTGGCCTGTGAAACTAGTCCTATAGAGGTGTCTTACATTATATAGATGTCCTCCATCTGTTGAGTTCTATAAGCAGTTTAGCATAGTGGAAAGAGACAGCATTTGAACCTTGATTTAAATGCTAGTTTTGATATTTACCAGCTACATGGACTTGGTATTCAATTTTTCTGAACCTCTGTTTCCTAGTATTTATAAGCCATGTGAACTTGGTAAAAGTACTCAATATTTCTGCACCTCTATATTTCTGCACCTCTATTTCCTGATCTGTAAAATAGGGGCAATATTTAGCCTTACAAGGCTAATATCAAGTTTAAGTAAGCAACTGCATATAAAATGCCAAGCATATGCTAAGTCCTCATAAATGGTGTTAAAAAAGAAAAAGGAAAAAAAAAGATGCTGCAGCAGCAACTACTGCTTTCCCTTCAAGGGATCAATTGTGTATGATTGTGGTGTGAGAAATGGTGTCAGACTGAGACAGGGTACTGCAGGCAGAGCACAAAGGATATCGTCCTACTCCTGGGGAACTGGTGTGCCAACCACATGTCCTAGTCAGGGATCAAGAGAAATTTCTCCGTGTAGTCAGCTAGTGACTTCTTCCTTATGGTACACATAACGCTTTGTTTCTATCTCTCCAAACAGAAATGCTTTGCACATATTGTCCTGCCAGCCACTCTGCCTTCTTTAGTACATCTTACTTATTGTCCCAGAATATGGCTTTTAAAATGCAGGCTGTATATGGTGCTCCTATCCACTCTTTCAGTACAGATAAATCCTAACTCCTTAATATGGATTATAAGGCTCTTTATGATCTGGCCTTCACTTCTCTCTCTTGCCTCATCTTTAGTTGTGCTCCATGCAGGGGTCACTTATCATTTTTGTCTGCCCAGTATCTGAACTCTTATGTTTAGGAAATTGCACAGTGCCTTGGTGGGGGAAGGACCTGTCTCACATCTCAGATATTGAAAAGTTCAGACACTCATGAGTGACACAGAGGATCAAAGACTGGGTCAGTGGCAGCAGTGATGGCCTCTTGTTACATTGGCAGTGATGTCTGTACTGTACTCTTACCATGCATAGTTTCAGCTGTGATCTGGACTGACTAGCCTACATCGGTAATGACTTAGTTTCAGAGCCTAGATTTTCCATCCCTTGTGATGGATCTTTGAGGTTACCCATTGTTTTTTCGATGAATTCTTTTTATGTTTAAAGGAACCCAGGGTGTTTTCTGTTATTTGCACTTACAAAATAGCCTTGAATCATACCACTCTTTAGCACCAAGTGCTCCATTCACATTAAACTTCTACAATACTTCTGAACTGACCATGGTTGTCTCCACCCCTGGGCTTTCTCACATTGTTCTACCTAGAACTCTCCTTACCCCATTCTTGAACTGTTTACATTTTGTTTTCCCCCAGTTTTATTGAGAAATAATTAACTTGCATCACAGAATAACTTTAAGCCTCACAGGATGGTTTGATTTACATATATTGTGAAATAATTACCATAATAGGTTCAGCTAACATCCATCATTTCATACACATACAATAAAAAGAAAAGAAGGAAGAAAAAAATAAAGGGGAAACATTTTCTCCTTATGGTGAGAACTCTTAGGATGTATTATATCCTTAACAACTTTTCTATGTCATACAGCAGTGTTAGCTATAGTCATTATGTTGTATATTACCTCCCTTCTACTTGTTTATTTTATAACTGGAAGTTTGTATCTTTAGACCACCTTATTCCAGTTCTCCCTCCCCCCACCACCTGCTTCTGGTAACCACAAGTCTGATCTCTTTTTCTATGAGTTTTTTTTTTTTTTTTTTAGATTCCACATACAAGTGAGATCATACAATATTTGTCTTTCTCTGACTTATTTCACTTAGCGTAGTGCCTTCAAGTTCCATCCGTGTGGTTGCAAATTGTAGGATTTCCTTATTTTTTATGGCTAAATAATATTCCATATATATATATATATGTGTGTGTGTGTGTGTGTGTGTATTACAATTTCTTTATCCATTCATCTATCAATGGATACTTAGGTTGTTTCCATGTCTGGGCTATTGAGAATAATGTTGCTGTGAACATGGGAGTACAGATATTTACCTGAGTTAGTGTTTTTGTTACCATTGGATTATTATTATGTATATTATAATATATATATTATTATATTTCCAGAAGTGGAATTGCTGGATTGTATGGCAGTCCTATTTTTAATTTTTTGAGGATCCTGCATATGGTTTTCCATAGTGACTATAAACTGACTTTTAATGATCCTTTGAATTCCACTCTGTTGTCATGTTATTTTTTCTGCAAATCTTCCCCTAGTTCTTAAGATGGGTTAGTTCCTCAGTGTTCCCACAGAACCCTCTGCTTATTTCTATTATAGTATTTATCACACTGTATTGTAATTGTCTTGGCATTCCTTGGAGACATGGGCTACTACTACATTAAGTATCTTTGCATTGTCTCTGGCAGATCATAATTACTTTCTAAATTTTATCTTTTGAATGAGTGAAAAACTATTGAATTACACATGGTGTTATATTAGAATTTGTCTATTTGCATATCTGTTTTCCCTAATAAACTGTGAATATTTTGTGAGCAGAGACCAAGTTCTTCTTCATCTTTATATCCTTAATTTGTAACATAGCACTTGGCTTATAGTAGATCCTGAGGGAATGTTGATTGCATGATTGAATGACTGAAGGGCAGACTGTCTTTTTAGAATTTCAGTTTAAGTTTTTTCCAAAAAAAATATCTTCTTTGACTATATGGGTAAAGATGAGATATCAGTATGTGGCTCATACTGAGTAATTGACACTCTCCACTCCTCTGTACCAGGGTTGGTAGTTTTATTTAGAAGATAGTGTGTACGTGTGAAAAAATAACTATTCAACAAGCTAGTATTTTATGTGCCAAGTGAGTGATATGGGCAGATAGATATTGCTTTAGTGTCAGGCTAACTATAACATTCTTAATTGGGCCTTTGAAAGTGTGGTACACAAGCAAATGAAATTAGAAAATGTCAGGGCGCCTGGGTGGCTCAGTTGGTTAAGCGGCTGACTTCGGCTCAGGTCATGATCTCGCAGTCTGTGAGTTCTAGCCCCGCATCAGGCTCTGTGCTGACAGCTCAGAGCCTGGAGCCTGCTTCAGATAGATTCTGTGTCTCCCTCTCTCTGACCCTCCCCTGTTCATGCTGTGTCTCTCCCTGTCTCAAAAATAAATAAACATTAAAAAAAAAAATAGAAAATGTCTATTCATCAATTGGATTATTAGTTAATTGGATTGATTAGAATGGAAGCCTGTATCTGTTTTACTTGGCTTATATTCTGCTTATTTTGGAATTTTTCCTCCTTCATTGGATATTTTTCATTGAAATTTAACTCATTCTTTTTTAGGTCCAAGACAACTTTGACAAGATTGAGTTCAATAGGATGTGTTGGACCCTCTGTGTCAAAAAAAACCTCACCAAGAGCCCCTTGCTCATTACAGAAGAAGATGCATTTAAAGTATGGGTTATTTTCAACTTTTTATCTGAGGACAAGTATCCATTAATTATTGTGCCAGAAGAGGTAAGGTGTGGCTCTGGGAAGTTCTTACATGGCCATCATAGCATTTAATAGATCTAGCTTGGAAGTATCGTTTTAATTCAAATTGTGTAGATACAAGGGAGATCTTGGACTAGTGTTTTTGGACCAGAGGCAAAACAGCTTGAATCCAAGAAAGTCCAAGACTTAGTGATTTGGGGTCATGTAATAACCCCTGGAGATTTGTAGATAGGGTGGGACTTTTCCTCTCCAAATTGCTATAGTTATGAATGAATCCATCCTCATATCCAAAGAATTTTTATTCAGTACAAGTCACAACATAATTTTTTGTTTCCTTACATATTGGCAAACTAGTATGGCATTTTAGGAAAGCAGGACAAATTGGCTGAGTGATATTATCTGGGAAACACATAGGATCCACAATGTTGTTCTCAAGGCTGTTTTTATGTGAGGAAATACTGTTCTTGTTTCAAAGTCCAGGATGGTGACTTTTTATTGTTCTTTCCAAAGTAAATGAAAAAGAATATTTTGCTTGTTCTGTTCTGACTTATTTTCCCTAGCTTCCAAAGGAAAAAAAAATACAGGAGTAAGATTTCTGTGCTATCTTACTGCCTTAAAAAATTATATATGTAATACATGCTTATTGCAGTAATAAATATAAAAAGACTAATATGAAGAATTACAATTAGCTATAGTTCTCCCCTAAAAAAAACACAAAAACAAAACAACAACCTGTCATTCCTTAACTTTTGACAAATTATTTAACCTCTTGAGATTTAATTTCCTATCTATAAAATAGTGCTGGGACACCTGGGTGGCTTGGTTGGTTAAGCGTCTGACTCTTGATTTCGTCTCAGGTCATGATCTCACAATTCATGATATTGAGCCCTGCATGGGGTTCTTTGCTGACGGCACAGAGCCTGCTTGGTATTCTTTCCCCCTCTCTCTCTGCCCATCCCCTGCTTTCTCTCAAAAACAAAACAAAACAAAAATTAAAAACCTTTAAAAAATAAAATAGGGCTAAATAGAGGTTCTGCATTTAAAGGACTTAGCTCAATATCTGGTATGTAATAGGTACTCAGTAAATGTGTTAACTCCTATGACCACTATTATTGCATTTTTGCACGTAAGTCTGTTTATTTCCTTAGAACAGATTTCCAACAGTGGAACTCTGAGTCCTAAAAAACACACTTAAAAAAAATTTTTTTTAATGTCTATTTTTGAGAGAGGGAGACACAAAATCCGAAGCAGGCTCTAGGCTCTGAGCTGTCAGCACAGAGCCTGACGTGAGACTCGAACTCACGAACTACGCGATCATGACAGCCAAAGTTGGATGCTTACCCAACTGAATCACCCAGGCACCCCCAAAACACACTTTCAAGGTATTTGATGAACAGGTAGAATTACCCTTTGGAAAGGTTGTACCAATTTAGATAGCTATCAGCAGTGATTGAGGCCTATTGTTACCCATCCTGCCAATACAGAGTCTAGTCTGTGATTTCTGTGATTCATGTTCATGTTAGGAAAATCTGTTTAAAAGTGCACACTACAAAATTTTATTTAAAGCCAGCAAGCATTTATTGACTGCCAACAATAGGCAAGGCACCAAGAGTAATGCAAAGTGCAAAAGATTACTTCCTGGCTTCAAGGAGTTTGTAGTCTGCTCAAGGAAAAAAATAAGTCAAATGTAATTTAAAGCAAAATAGACTACCTGTTACAAGAGAGATGCAAAGGGCATACAAATACAAAGGGATAGATTTATTCTAGGTTGGGGGAAGTAAGGGAATCAAGGAAAGATTTTTAACAGACAATGTAGTAGTTAAAAGTAAGGTCTTAAATTTTTTCCATAAAGGGCCAAAAAATAAATATTTGAGGGTTTGTGGCCCTTTAGGCCATCCTGTCTCTGTTGCAGCTACTTAAATCTGCTGTTATGGCATGAAAGCAGCCACAGACACTATGTTGGACTAGTGCTGGACTTTGAAATGTGAATTTTGTATGATGTTCATGGATCATGAAAAAATTTTTTTTTCCTCCCAACTACTTAAAAATGCAGGAAATGGTCTTAGATCATGGATGTATACAAACATGCCATGAGCCAGATTTGGCTGCTGGGCTAGAGTTGACTTGTGGACTGGCTTTTGCTGTTCCCTGGTTAAGGGCAGGGGTCTGGAGTCAGATTTCCTGGATTTGACTTCTAGCTCTATCACTGTTCACTAGCTCTATGACTTTGGGCAATATACTTCATTTGTTTTTGCTTCAGTTTCCTCAACTATAAAATAAGACTAATGCTAGTATCTACCTCTTACTCTTCTTATGAAGATCAGATGAGGAGAATGCCTGGCCCTGAAAGTGCTCATTTAGTATTAGCTCTTAAGTTTATGGGGAAATTAGCACTTGTGCTGGGCCTTAAAAGATGGGAAGAATTTTGATTAATGGAGAAGAATTCTGGGTGGAAGAAACAGTGGGCAAAATTATATGAGTGAACAAAATATAAAAGCAAAGGGCATGTTCTTTTTTTTTTTTTTTTTTAAATGTTTATTTTTGAGAGAGAGAGACAGAGTGTGAGTGGAGCAGGGGCAGAGAGAGAGGGAGACACAGAATCCAAAGCATGCTCCAGGCTCTGAGCTGTCAAGCACAGAGCCCAGTGCGGGGCTTGGACTCACAAACCGTGAGATCACGACCTAAGCCGAAGTCAGTTGCTTAACTGACTGAGCCACCCAGGCACCCCCAAAAAGGAATTTTTAAAAAGGATATTGGGTAGCTCACCGAATTGTCATGATGGCTGAGACCAGGTTTGAATGCTATCATTCTGGAACTATCCTGGTCACTCCAGTGAGGAACCACAAGGAAAAGCTGCTGCCACCAGGGGGTGGGTATTGTACTTATGCCATGGAAAACCTCTGGCCCTGCACATTTGGTGCAGCCCAGGAACTCTGATCTTCTTGCAACTGTTTTTGCTACCAGAGAGAATTCTCTGTGCCCAGTTTTCAGTTCATAGTCATAGGATAACACATGTAATTGTTATGGCCTATGTCAGGTACCATGAGATAGTTGCAAAGGAGTCCTGGAAAGGGTCCATTTGCATTTTTATTGTCTGTATTGGGAGGTAGGGAATTGCCTAGATGTAAGAAGGGGGTTCGATGCTAGGCAGTCAAAAAGAATGACACATGCCCTGTCTAACTGGAATATGCTAGAAGGAAGAAGAATGGTGGTAGATGAGGCTAGAAGGAGTTTTGACTTTATCCTGTAGGCAATGGGGAGCTGTGAGCCACTGATGATTTTTTAAAATATTTATTTATTTTGAGAGAGAGAGAGAGAGTGGGGCAAGAGCAGAGAGAGAGGGAGAGAGAGAACCCCAAGTGGGCTCTACAGTCAGCGCAGAGCCTGATATGGGGCTTGATCCTACAACCGTGGTGAGATCATGACCTGAGCCTAAATCATGAGTTAGATGTTTAACTGACAGAGTCACCCAGGCACCCTGAGCCACTGATGATTTTTAAGCAGGAGAGTGTCAAATAAATAGATGAAATATGGAGAGATGTGAGATGGGAAGTTGAGAGAAGGTAAGTGGCATATGGGGACCGAAGTATAGTGATGTTAGTGAGAATGGAAAAGAAGATCAGATGGGAAGGACCTAGAGGTGACAGGACTAAAAGTTCATAGTGCCTGGTGTAGGCCTATAGGCAGGTTTCAGGCCTGGGCAATCGGGAGGTAATAGAGTGTAGTTGTTTAAAGCATGATCTTTGAGGGGCGCCTGGGTGGCGCAGTCGGTTAAGCGTCCGACTTCAGCCAGGTCATGATCTCGCGGTCCGTGAGTTCGAGCCCTGCGTTGGGCTCTGGGCTGATGGCTCAGAGCCTGGAGCCTGTTTCCGATTCTGTGTCTCCCCCTCTCTCTGCCCCTCCCCTGTTCATGCTCTGTCTCTCTCTGTCCCAAAAATAAAATAAAACGTTGAAAAAAAAATTAAAAAAAAAAAATAAAGCATGATCTTTGAAATCAGACTGCCTGCTTTAAATCCTGACTGTACCACATTTTAACTATGTGACTTTGAAGAGATTAATTCATCTCTTTGTCTGGGTTTCCCCATCTGTAAAATGGGGACAGCTACTTCATTCATTGGACTCTTGTTAGGACTAAAATAGTTGATATATGTGAAGCATTTAACATAATGTCTGGCCCCATGATGAGTGCTCACTAAATAGTGTCTATGTGTGAATGACAGGATGATGAATAAGTTGGAGATATGGTGTCTGAGGATGGGTTGGGTACATTGGTATTTTAAGTGGGACATACTTGTGGAGCTGTCCTGTATTCAACTGGAATTACACTTTTAGAGTTTGTGAGAAGTTAGGGCTGGAGACAGAGATGGGGAAGCTATGGGAGTAGATTAGATCAAGGAGGAAGAAACCACTGTGGGAGAAGTGAGGGCTTAGGACGGAACCTTGGGACTGTTTCTGTAACAGGAAGAGGAAGTAGTTTTGGTACAGGAAGCTGAATTGAATAGTCTATAAGGTAGGAGGAAAACTGGGAGAGTATTGAGTCATGAGTGCCATAGAAAGAAAAAGTTCTAAGAAGCAGAAAAGTAGTTACTAGCATTAGATGCTACAGAAAAATTAGAGGGTGATACGTGAGAAGTTGCCCTTGGATTTACCAATTAGGTGGTCATTGGAAATCAAGTAGAACACAGTTTTATGTAGTGGTGGGAACAGTTTTTTAGTGCTTAGTAACAATAATGATGTGATAGTGTGTCAATGTTAAAGGGGATATGAAGTGGGGCGCCTGGGTGGCTCAGTCGGTTAAGCGTCTGACTTCAGCTCAGGTTAGGATCTTGTGGTCCGTGAGTTCGAGCCCTGCGTCGGGCTCTGGGCTGATGGCTTGGAGCCTGGAGCCTACTTCCGATTCTGTGTCTCCCTCTCTCTCTGCCCCTCCCCCGTTCATGCTCTTTCTCTCTCTGTCTCAAAAATAAATAAACATTAAAAAAAAAGGGGGGATATGAAGAATAAAATGTGTTGTGGAGTCTTGTCCATGAAAATTGTCTAGCTTAATACAGAGACATATAGAAGGAGTGGAATATTGATAGGTGTTGAAAAAGATGTATTGATGGTATTTAAAAGTAAAAAAAAAATTTTTTTTTAATGTTTATTTTTAAGAGACAGAGAGAGACAGATCATGAGCAGGAGAGGGGCAGAGAGAGAGGGGGACACAGAATCTGAAGAAGTCTCTAGGTTCTGAGCTGTCAGCAGAGCCCAACGCGGGACGTGAACTCACAAACTGTGAGGTCATGACCTGAACTGAAGTTGGACGCTCAACTGACCCAGGCGCCCAGGCACCCTAAAAAAAATTAAAAAAAATTTTTTTTAACATTTATTTTTTATTTTTGAGGGACAGAGACAGAGCGTGAGCAGGGGAGGGGCAGAGAGAGTGAGACACAGAATCTGAAGCAGGCTCCAGGCTCTGAGCTGTCAGCACGAGCCCAATATGGGGCTCGAACCCACGAACTGTGAGATCGTGACCTGAAGTCAGACGCTTAACAGACTGAGCCACCCAGAAGCCCCTAAAAAATGTTTTTGATGTTTATTTTTGAGAGAGAAAGCGACAGAATGTGAGTGGGGGAGGGACCGAGAGAGGGAGACACAGCATCTGAAGCAGGCTTCAGGCTCTGAGCTGTCATCACAAAGCCCTACACGGGCCTTGAACTCATGAACTGTGAAATCGTGACCCGAGCCGAAGTTGGATGCTTAACCAACTGGGCCACCCAGGTACCCTCTGGTGGTATTTTAAAAACCTAGCTGTTGCTTGGAAGAATTATGCTAATAAAATCTCCAGTGTTGTCTTTTAAAACATTTTGTAGTTACGCTTAGTGTTCTAAGTTTATTTGTGTTTTCTTTGGAATTGGAGGTGGAGTGGGTCTCTTACCTGTGATGTTTGGGCTCTTACCATCACTAAAATATTCATGGTAGACTTGAAATTGATCTTGTCCTGATTTCAGCGTTAGAAATTTCCTTAGTAACTAAGGAAACTTACCTTGTTCCTCAAGGGGGCACTTGCTTGATATGGAGGACTTGTCATTGGCTTTAAATCATTGTTGAGCCATGGGCTATGAAGGGAGCCGGTCAGCACTAGCTTCCTGATTGCTCTGCCTAAGAAACTGCTCCAGGTGGCCTGAAGAACTGGGGCCCACATGAGCCTTGAGGTGTACCATGACTGTATCCACTTCTGTACTCTAGAGCCCCGCCAAGGCTCTGCGGGCTGTTAGGAATGTCTTTGGTTGTGTTTCTTCTAAACAAATTAATCTCATTCCAGAAGGAAATAGCCTCTGTTTAGAATAGCGAGGCAGCATACCTTGTCATGTTATTATTTGGACTTATTACTCTGTTTTGACATCTTTAACTCTCTCAGCATTTCTTCTGCTTAGATTTAGAATTAGAGTTAGTTTTATAGATCCTTTCTCTGTGGCCAGAAGTACTTATGTGGAGAAAGAATCATCAGGACAGATTTATGTGGAATTGCTTTGCCTGGCTGCTGAACCAGCCTCCTGTTAAAATATGGCTATGTATTTATTAAGCTCTTAGCACAACTCCTGTCCTTGGATGAAGCACTGTAAACTCAAGATCACACTATTTTATGGAAAATACTAGAGTCATAATAATATTTCTTAAGGTAGTCATTCTCTGGTACATTTTGTTTCCTTCCTAAATACTTTAATAACATTAAAAAAGCCCCATATTTTGAGCTAGTTATAGACTTAGAGGTTTTAGTAAAATTTAATGTAAAGATAGATAAATTTTAAAAATAAATTTTTTTTTTATTAAAAAAAATTTTTTTTTCAACGTTTATTTATTTTTGGGACAGAGAGAGACAGCATGAACGGGGGAGGGGCAGAGAGAGAGGGAGACACAGAATTGGAAACAGCCTCCAGGCTCTGAGCCATCAGCCCAGAGCCCGACGCGGGGCTCGAACTCACGGACCGTGAGATCGTGACCTGGCTGAAGTCGGATGCTTAACCGACTGCGCCACCCAGGCGCCCCTAAAAATAAATTTTGAAGTGTAATGTCTTAATTTGTCATGAGTGCATATATGAGTTTAATTTGTAATTTTACCAACAGTTTTTAGGTTTTATAAGTTTAAGGTAATTTTTATGTTTTCAGTCATCCATCTACCATAATGATTATTTGTATTTTGTTTGAGTCCAGAATGTTTTTAACTGAGATTTTATTCTCTAGTTTTGATTAATGCTATATAAGATATAAGTAACAGTGGTAGTTATATGAGTAACATAAGTGGTATAAATGTTTGATTTTGATTCAGTTTCCCATGACCCAGAAAGTAGTATCAAAAATATTAAATAAATGTTAAGTGACTTACACCATGCATAATTCAAGAAATAGTATGTTCCCATTTAAGATGGTTCCTTAATTTTTGTCAAGCGATATTCCTGGAAATGTGTGTCTGTATAGTTTTTTTCATTAGCATTCATTTTCCGCAGAGCCAAGAACAAAACAGGATGTGTCTGTTGTGGACTTATTTGGAAGAATTGCTTTGATGCAATTAAATATCAAAACTGAAATAGTTTTAAGAGATCCTTAGTGAATGAAATAAAACCTAAATTGTTGTTAAACCAGTAAAGGCCCTTTTTTAATGATGACAGGGAAAGAACTTTTAACAACATGATTTTTGGAGCCAAAGGCCTTGAAAATCACATGCAGCTTGAAAGTTTATTCTTTTGTTATTTTTGGTGAAACTTGCTTGGAAGGAGGAAGTAAGCTGCTTCCTGAAACTGAATGAGCTTTTAGAATTGATGCAGGCCACTCGAGACTAACACGGCAGCACGTGATTTATTATTTAGTGTAATTGAATAGTTGAGAGTGGGAATGTTTGTCTCTTCCTGGCCCAATATAATGAATTAAGAGATCCTTAAATTATTTGGTAATGATAAGTATATGATTGTGTTGAAAGTCAGCAGGAAATAAGTCTAGATTATTTGGGACAATCACTGGGAATGCTGAGCAGTTGCTGGGTGCGGATGACAAACTCAGGAGGGTTTGGGAGTGCGCACCTTCATAAAGGTTTAGGATGAACCAAGGAAGCTGCCTCTAGAGCTGAGTTTGCTACTAACAGGTACTCTCAGTTACTAACATTATTAAAGACCATTGGATATACAAGAGAAACTGAAGCTTGGAGTGGGAGGGACTTGGGTATATTCACAGTGGATGTATATTCACAGTAGATGAAGAAAAGCTAAGGCTGTTTCCCGATTTATAGTATGAATGGTCAGTCCAATGCACCATTTTGTCATACCTATCCACGTGACCATATACATATGCTTCTGTTGGCCTTACTACTAACACTTCTACTTGTGCTTGTACTGCCTTTATCCCACCTTGTGATCAGACAGCATGGGCCCTTCTTTTTACTGCATTAGGGAGATTGAACTTCTGTACATGTTAATGCCTCTAAGTTATTTTACTTTGGGCAGTTATTCATCTTAATGTCCTTTTTAACTTTCTTTTTCTCTCTTGTCTCTCTTTAGTCTCTTCTTGTCTTTAATCTTTTTTCCTTTTCTTTTTTGGTACATTCTGTCCTTTTTTCCTCTTTCTCTCTCATCTTTACCATTTTCTTTCTCCTCCACTGACTATCCCTGTTACTATGTCTTTTTTTTTTTTCTTTAAAGATTTTATTTTTAAGTAATCTCTACACCCAAGTTGGGGCTTGAATTTACAACTTCAAGATTAAAAGTTACATGCTGTAATTACTGAACCAGCTAGGCACAAATGAAATTTTTTTTTTTCATTTTTATTTAAAGTTTATTTATTTATTTTGAGAGAGTGAGCAAGCACGTGAGAGCATGCACAAGAATAGGGGAGGAACAGAGAGAGAGAGAGAGAAAGGGGAGAGAGAATCCCAAGCAGGCTCTGTGCTATCAGTGCTGAGCCCTCCGAGGGGCTCAATCTCACAATCTGTGAGATCGTGACCTGAGCCAAAGTTAAGCATCTGATGTTCAACCAACTGAGACACATTCATTCAGTGGAGACATGCAGGCATCCTATGTTTTTGTTTTTTGAAGTAAGCTCTATGCCCAGCATGGGGCTTGAACTCACAACCCTGATACAAGGAGTCACATGCTCTACCAGCTGAGCCAGTCAGGTGGCCTGATCCTTGTTACTTGTTCTTCTTCTTTTTTTTTTAAATCTTTTTAATGTTTATTTACTCTTGAGAGAGAGACAGAATGCGAGTGGGGGAGGGGCAGAGAGAGAGGGAGACACAGAATCCGAAGCAGGCTCCAGGCACCAAGCTGTCAGCACAGAGCCTGACGTGGGATTTGAACTCACAAACCGTGAGATCATGACCTGAGGTAAAGTCAAACCCTTAAGTGACTGAGCCACCCAGGCACCCCTGATCCTTGTTACTTCTATTTAAAAACCAAGAAAATAATAATATCTGATAAACTTAACAGTAGATGTTATATCTCCAACAAGGGAAAGGAAAGACCTAAGTGTGTTTTTCTCCAACAAGTAAATATTTGTTGACTACTTACTATATACTTGATTTAGGAGATTAGATAATTTCCATATTAGAAGACTTTATAGTGTCTCATCAAATTTAATTACTAGAACTCTTGATATTTTTTGACTTTGTGATATTTTGTGGATGTACATTTCTTTGCAAGCATGTTTTTGCTATTGTTGGCATTCTTTTTCTGCTAAAATATGTTATTTCACAAACAGCTTTATAACCAAATTAGTAGAAGTGCAAAGGAGAGAAAGAAAAATTAACTCACAATCTTATCTGTAACAAGTTAGACTTACTATTTCTGTGTTTTCCTCTAGTATTTGTCAAAATATTTACAGAGTCTTTATGCAGGGAAATTATAGGTAAATTTAATTGAGCATTCTTTTATTTATTTTTACATTTTTATTTTTTTGGTATTATTATTTTTATTAGAGAGAGAATTTTTTTTTTAATGTTTATTTTTTTTAGAGGGGTGGGGAGGAGCAAACAGAGGGGGACAGAGGATTCAAAGCAGGTTTGGTGTTGACAGCATAGAGCCTGATTTCAGGATTCGAATTCACAAACCATGATATCATTACCTGAACTGAAGTTGGACACTTAACCAGCTGAGCCACCCAGGAATCCTGAGAGGGGGGTGGGGGAAGAGGATGAATGAATGAATGAATGAATCTTAAGCAGTCTCCATGCTCAGTCAGAGCCCAATGTGGGGCTTAATCCCAAGACCCTGCGATTATGACTCGAGCCAAAGCCAAGAGTTGGATGCTTAACTGACTGAGCCACCCAGGTGCCTCTCTCAAATGTAATTTTAGCAATCCCTGTCAAAATAACATCAGCATTCTTCACAGAGGTAGAACAAACAATCCTAAAATTTGTATAGAACCAGCAAAGACCCCAAATAGCCAAAGCAATCTTGAAAAAGAAAACCAAAGCTGGAGGCATCACAGTTCTGTACTTCAAGCTGTATGACAAAACTGTAATCATCAAGACAGTATAGTACTGGCACAAGAACAAACACATAGATCAAAGGAATAGAACAGAGAACCCAGAAATGGACCCACAAACATATGGCCAACTAATCTTTGACAAAGCAGGAAAGAATATCCAAAGGGAAAAAGACAGTCTCATCAACACATGGTGCTGGGAAAACTGGACAGCAACATGCAGAAGAATGAACCTGACTGCTTTCTTACACCAGACACAAAAATAAACTCAATGTATGAAAGACCTAAACATAACACAGGAAGCCATCAAAATCCTAGAGGAGAAAACAGGCAACAACTTCTTTGACTTTGGCTGCAGCAACTTCTTACCTTTCATGTCTCCAAAGGCAAGAGAAACAAAAGCAAAAATTAACTATTGGGACTTCATTAAGGTAAAAAGCTTCTGCACAGCAAAGGAAACAATCAGCAAAACTAAAAGGCAACTGACAGAATGGGAGAAGATATTTGCAAATGACATTGGAGAAAGGGTTAGTATCCAAAATTTATAAAGAACTTATTGAACTCAACACCCAAAAAACCAATAATCCAGTGAAGAAATGGGCAGAAGACATGAATAGACACTTATCCAAAGTCGACATCCGGATGGCTAACAGACACATGAAAAAATGCTCAACATCACGTATCATCAGGGAAATACAAATCAAAACCACAGTGAGATTCCACCTCACACCTGTCAGAATGGCTAAAATTAGCAACTCAGGCAATGACAGATGTTGGCAAGGTTGCGGAGAAAGAGGAACCCTTTTGCAGTGCTGGTGGGAATGCAAACTGGTGCAGCTGTTCTGGAAAACAATTTGGAGATTCCTCAAAAACTTAAAAATAGAACTACCCTACAACCCAGCAATTGCACTACTAGGTATTTAACCAAACGACACAGGAGTGCTGATTTGAAGGGGCACATGTACCCCAATGTTTATAGCAGCACTATCAACAATAGCCAAAGTATGGAAAGAGCCCAAATGTCCATCGACTGATGAATGGATAAAGAAGATGTGGTATATATACACAATGGATGATTATGTGGTGATCAAAAAGAATGGAATCTTGCCATTTGCAACAATGTGGATGGAACTAGAATGTGTAAGTCAGAGAAAGACAAATACCATATGATTTCATTCATATGTGGGATTTAAGATACAAAACAGATGAACATAAGGGAAGGGAAGCAAAAATAATATAAAAACAGGGGGAGACAAACCATAAGAGACTCTTGAATACAGAGAACAAATTGAGGGTTGCTGGTGGGGTGTTGGCTGGTGGGGGGAGAGCTAAATGGGTGAGGGGCATTAAGGAGGATGCTTGTTGGGATGAGCACTGGGTGTTAAATGTAAGTGATGAATCACTGAATTCTATTCCTGAAATTATTATTACACTACATGTTAACTAACTTGGATTTAAATTTAAAAAAATAATAAAAAAATTAAATGTCATTTAAAATGTTTGAATAATGCACCACTGAGTACAAAAGGAAATAACATTGATGGAGTACCTACCATGTCAGACACTGTGCAAAATAATCAGTATTTGTCTCATTTTATCCCCATAGTAGTACTATATGATAAGTGTTGTTATGCCCATTTCATAGATGAGAAAATTGAGGCTTAGCTTAGTTTATTTCAGTTTAATAAACAGTAATTGAGCTTTACCACATTCTAGGTATGGTGCTGAGTTCTGGATATTCAAAGATAGGTGGGACATGGTCCCGTCTGTAAGGAATTCAGAAAATGGTGGGAATCCAAATGATTAAGAGATAATTTCAGTACAATATGCTAAGTGGAGTGACATAGAAGAACAACTGACCTGGGGGTGCCTGGGTGGCTAGGTTGAGTAAGCATCTGACTCTTCATTTCAGCTCAGGTCATGATCTCACTGTTTGTGGGTTCAAGCCCCATATTGGGTTCTGCACTGACAGGATGGAGCCTGCCTGGGATTCTCTCTTTTCCTCTCTCTTTTCCCCTCCCCTGCTTGTGCTCATCCTCTGTCTCTCTCTCTCAAAATAATTTTGGGGGAAAAAAAAAAAAAAGAACACCTAACTTGGATTAGGGTTGGTCAGAGCAGTTTTACTAGAGTAGTGCTTTCTCAAACTTTAATGTACATATGGAAGTACCTGGGTTCTTGTTAAAATGCAGATTTTGATTTTTGGGTCTTTGGTGGGGTCCAAGATTCTTCATTTCTAACAACCTAGTTGATGCTGATGCTGCTGTTCATACCTCACTTTGAATAGGAATATCCTAGACGACACAGAATTTGAACGAATACCATTTAGCTTGGTGCAGAAATGAGGAGAGGTATTCAAGACAGAGAGGACAGGGTGGGGAAAGGCATAGAAGCATAAACAAGTATGTTAAATGGGTAAACTTATAAATATGACAGGTATTGGCAAACTATGGCTATGGCTCACTGCTGAATGTAGCCCGTAGCCTGTTTTTGTTTAGCCCATGTGCTAAGAAGAGTTTTTACATTTTTAAAGCATTGTAAAAAACAAACCCAAACAAAGAGTAACTTATAATAGAGATGCACAAAGCCTCAAATATTTACTACCTAACCCTTTACAGAAGAAGCTCGAGACCCCTGATCTGTGGTAGTAGTGAAGTGTGTAAAATCTGCAGTGGGCATAGTGGAAGACATGTTAGAGATAGTAAATGGGAGGGAGGAATGGTGGTCACCAAGGGACACAGGAGAACTTGGCCTTTATCTTTGAGGTGATAGAGAACCAGGACAGGATTTAAAGAGGGAGGTGAGGGGTGCCTGGGTGGCTCAGTTGGTTAAGCATCCAGCGCTTGGTTTCAGCTCATGTCGCGATCTCACGGTTCATGAGTTTGAGCCCTGCATTGGGTTCTTGCTGACAGCACGGAGCCTGCTTGGGATTCTGTCTCTCTCTCTCTCTGTCTCTCTGTCTCTCTCTGCTCCTCCCTTGCTCACTCTCTATCTCTCTTTCTCTCTTTCTCAAAAATAAATAAATAAACATTAAAAAAATATAGAGAGAGGTGATAGGCTCAGGTTATGTTTTGAAAAAATTTCTCTGGCAGAATATAGATACAAGGGAACAATGCTGGAGGCAAGGATACCAACTGGGAGGCCTGAACAAGGTAGATGGAGTAGGAGGGGATGGGTTTGAGAATTGTCTGGGAAAAAGTTTTTCATTCTCTCTTGACTATAACCCATAGGAAGATATTACTTCATGACTAGCACACATAGGCATACCCACAACACCAAACTAACCACAAAACATTTGTCTTTATTGTGAGTAAACTCAAATATTTTCATTCAATTAAAGAAGATGCTGGTGACTATGTAATAAGTTGATTTTATATTGAGTTATAACCTACAGTTTGAAAAGCACTGATCTGGGGAAGTGAAACAGTAGGATTTTATCACTGATTTGGAATAAAGGAATAGGGAACAAGGATTGGCATGGGTGAATGGTGTTGTTCCCAACTGAAATCAATAATAGAAGGGAAAGCCATTTGGAAGGTAGAGGTGACGCATTCATTTTTGGATGTGTTGACTTTGATAGCATTGTAGGAAACCCAGGCTTTCCAGAAGATAGCAGTTTCTCATTCAGTGAGTATTATTGCCTGTTTTGTGTACCTGCTGTTATTTGAATAGCAATATTTTCTCCTGTTCTACACAAAGGTATGTTTTTCAGGATTTAATAGGCTTTTTCAGCCCAGGGTAGGAATTTGGCCATTGTTTCCAACATTGTCAATGTTATAATGGGAGGAAGCATCATAAATTTCAAATAATTGGCTTACGTGGGAAATTTCTAAATTGGGGACTAAGTTGTAAATACTAATTTGAGATGCTTATTTAATTAATACTTGCATATTAATTCAGTAAGATCGATATTCTGATATATTTAAGTATTTATCCAACAGAGAGTAGTCAAACCACATCAATTAAGTGTATGTGTACAGTTTGCTTTAGTTCTGCTATAGTATACAAATATACTATACTATTAGAGGGTTATAAGTTTTTGATTCCTTCAAAAAATTTTTTTGTAATGTTTATTTTATTTTTGAGAGAGCAAGAGAGACAGAGCATGAGTGGGGGAGGGGCAGAGAGAGAGGGAGACACAGAATCTGAAGTAGGCTCCAGGCTCTGAGCTGTCAGCACAGAGCTCGACTTGGGGGTTCAAATTCAAGAACTGTGAGATCATGACTTGAGCCAAAGCTGGATGCTTAGCCAACTAAGCCACCCAGGTGCCCCTCAGTTTTTGGTCCTTATTCTATAAGTTAATACAGGACTAGTGGCATTTTATCTATACCTTTCCTCTGATAATATCATGATTTTTTAAAGATATAATTTTGAAAGTAAAAAGGAACATTTCCTAAGTTGACCTTATCAGTGTAAATAACATGGATACATACCTAAGTTTAAAAGTTACTATTTTTTTTACTAGGAATTAATAATTAAAAATTGTTCTTTTTATAGATTGAATACCTGCTTAAGAAACTTACAGAAGCTATGGGAGGAGGTTGGCAACAGGAACAATTTGAACATTATAAAATCAACTTTGATGACAGTAAAGATGGTCTTTCTGTGTGGGAACTGATTGAACTTATTGGAAATGGACAGTTTAGCAAAGGCATGGATCGGCAGACAGTGTCCATGGCAATTAATGAAGTCTTTAATGAGCTTATATTAGATGTATTGAAACAGGTAAGAGTCCTGGAACACTGTGTTTCTCCTTACCTTTAGACTTTGACATGTTTGAAATAAGACATTTTCATTTGAGTATAAGTCATTTATACCTTTATACTGATTTAGAACAAGAATAAAGTCTTATTTTCCCAGTCTTGTATTAGGCTTAAAAAAAAATTACTGATATAATTTTGAAGTATACTTAAGCATTGGGAAGTTGCTATTTTGAAAGAATTGTTTAAATGACCACATTTCCAAACTATCTTTAAAGTACTTTCATGTCACGTGTACATCCATACTTGTTGATCTGAG